CCCCCCGCATCTTTCTGATCTGCTACAACCGTATGTCCCACCACGTTCCCTGAGGTCAGCGGACCAATTGCTCCTCACAGTTCCAGGAACTCGTCTTAAGCGCAGAGGTGACAGGGCCTTCTCTGTAGCAGTACCAAGACTTTGGAACAAGTTACTTCTGCTTGTCAGACAGGCCCCCTCCCTCTTGGTTTTCAAATCCCATTTACTATTCAGTAGCTTTCAACACCAGATGATCTGTGTTTTGAACATGTACACTCCACACTGGTTTGTCATCATATTTATTATCTGCATCGTTTTTATGTCTATATTTTTGATCACTTCATTGTGTATATTGCTTTGTGTGTTATCTGTTGTTCTGTCAGTACAGCAGTTTGGTTGGCCTTGTAGCTGTTTTAAGTGCTCTATAAATAAAATGGCATGGCATGGTATAGTGATTTTTCTTCTTCGTCCTTTGGCTTCTCCTTCTTCAGAGGTCACCACAGTGAACTAAGTCATGCAAAGACTTGCCAATTATTTTTATGCCAAATGCCCTTCCTGATGTAACCACAGACCACTGAGCTACCACAGCCCTCTGTGTGGAGCAGAGAGCTGCATCTAGAGTGCCGAGGGGAGCAGATGGTGGGGGTTAAGGGCCTTGCTCAAGGGCCCAGAGTGGGGCAAATGAGGGTGGAGGCAGGTGTGGGTGCTTCACCTATCCCACCCACATTTTGATGTTGTTGGCAACGGGAGTTGAACCAAGGATTTTCCGATCACATGCTCATCTTCTCTAATCTCTGTGCCACTATTCCATTACAGAATACATAATGAAATGCCAGTTAGTAAAAGTTTTCTATGTGAAGATGTCAGCAGAGTTGTGTTTTCATTGTCTTTGTCATAAACACCCATCTTGTGTTAGGATTTGTGTCAGGAGCGAACCCAGAGTGCAGAACAGGGACTCAACTCGGCAGATATACAAAAATAGGCTTTTAATGAAAAAACAAAAGTACAAAATAAACAAGCTGACGGGGCAGCAAAACTTACATGAACTAGGAAGGAGGCACGGGGAACTCAGGAGACACGAGAGACACGGGGAACTCAAGGGATCAGGAAGGCTCAGGGAAAGACTCAGGAGACCCAAGGAGTACCCAACGAAGACGACCCGACGAAGAACAAGACAGAACAGGTGGCTTATATGCATAGACAAGACGAGACATAATTGCAGACAGCTGGGACGAGACACGGGTGGTAACAATGGAAACTAATGAGGGAGCACGAGGGAAACAGACACAAACCGGGCCACAGAAAAGTACCATCCTTACAGTACCCCCCCCCCCAAGGACGCCTCCAGGCGTCCCCAAAACACCCCCCTCCTGAAGGACTAGGGCGGGTGGAGGGTGGCACTGCAAGGGTGGAGGGCCCGAGGAAAAACACGAGGACCAGAGAAAAGACACGAGGGACCAGGGAGAGAGGACACGAGGAACCAGAGAGAAAGGACACGAGGAACCAGAGAGAAAGGACACGAGGAACCAGAGAGAAGAGAGAAGGGACACGCGGGACCACAGAGAAGGGACACGAGGAACCAGAGAGAAAGGGACACGAGGGACCACAGAGAAAGGGACACGAGGGACCACAGAGAAAGGGACACAAGGGACCACAAAGAAAGGGACACGAGGGACCACAGAGAAAGGGACACGAGGAACCACAGAGGGAAGGGACACCAGGAACCAGAGGAAGGGACACGAGGAACCAGAGGAAGGGACACGAGGAACCAGAAAAGGGACACGAGGAACCAGAAAAAGGACACGAGGGATCACAAGGGATTTGGACGGTCAAGAGATCATCCCAAAGAGTCATTGTTCCAGCGAGCAGCCGGGAGGCTGTCCATCAAACCGGGCCAGGTCAGGGGGGCGGCCGGGAGGCCGTCCAAAACACAGAGCCAAAGGGAACACGGCTTGCGTTAAGGAGACCTGGAGAGCTGCAACGTGCGGCGTGGAAGCCTGGAGAGCTGCAGCGGGCGGCGTGGGAGCCTGGAGAGCTGCAACGGGCGGCGTGGGAGCCTGGAGAGTTGCAGCGGGCGGCGTGGGAGCCTGGAGAGCTGCAGCGGACGGCGTGGGAGCCTGGAGGGCTGCAGCAGACGGCGTGGGAGCCTGGAGGGCTGCAGCAGACGGCGTGGGAGCCTGGAGAGCTGCAGCAGACGACGTGGGAGCCTGGAGAGCTGCAGCAGACGGCGTGGGAGCCTGGAGAGCTGCAGCAGACGGCGTGGGAGCCTGGAGAGCTGCAACAGGAGACGAGGGAACCTGGAGAGCTGCAGCAGAAGACGAGGGAACCTGGAGAGCTGCAGCAGGAGATGAGGGAACCTGGAGAGCTGTAGCAGGAGACGTGGGAGCCTGGAGAGCTGCAGCAGGAGACGTGGGAGCCTGGAGAGCTGCAGCAGGAGACGTGGGGGCCTGGAGAGCTGCAGCAGGAGACGTGGGGGCCTGGAGAGCTGCAGCAGGAGACGTGGGAGCCTGGAGAGCTGCAGCAGGAGATGAAGGCAACTTGGAGGATGCAACTGCTGTCGGAGAGGCCTGGGGAGATGCTGCTGCTGTCGGAGAGGCCTGGGGAGATGCTGCTGCTGACGGAGAGGCCTGGGGAGATGCTGCTGCTGTCGGAGAGGCCTATGGAGTTGCTGCTGCTGCCGGAGAGGCCTGTGGAGTTGCTGCTGCTGCTGTCGTGGAGGCCTTTGGCTCTGCAGCAGATGACGGAGAGGCCTGTGGTTCTGCAGCAGACGATGGAGAGGCCTGTGGCTCTGCAGCAGACGACGGAGAGGCCTGTGGCTCTGCAGCAGACGACGGAGAGGCTTGTGGCTCTGCAGCAGATGACGGAGAGGCCTGTGGCTCTGCAGCAGACCACGGAGAGGCCTGTGG